GTATGATTTTCCTTACGATCACTGGCAGGATTTTCCATTCTGTTTCTTCACTATACTGGTCTCTAATTGGAAGTCCTGGGCTGCCACATTACAAGCAGTGTTTCTCCTGAGACACAGTTGATTTGTCTGCAGTAGTGGGTGTAAGCACAAGGACTGGTGTAAGCTCTCTTCCTACCTTCCAAATCGAACACACAAGTACCCAGCAGCTGAGGAGCCCAGGAGCCCACCGATGCTGTAGATGGACACAATGAGGGACCACATCAAAGTGATCATCTCTGCACTGGGAGAGGAGCCATATCTCTTCAGCCAGGTGTCATGGATGAAACTTTGGATGTACTTTAAAAGAAAAAAACAAAACAGTGGACTCAGCCAACATATTTTTGCATAATTGCACTGCTTTTTTAATTCTCTTATCTGCTTATCGGTCTTTTTGATACATTTCAGTCGATAACCTTGGTTGAAACCTTAGCCCCAATGGGAATTTTGCCATTACCATGCCTGGAGCTGATATTTTAGCAATGAGATCCAATATATCAATATTAAATATCAACTGTGAGTGCCAGTAAGAGAATGGTAGGTTTCTGTTTCTGTGCTAAACCCTGACTTTTTCTCACCCTGATCTTTTCCTGCCATTCCCACTTGTCTCTGGTGATAGTATGAGCTCAGTGTCCTTGGTACCATTCAGGATGACAAACACCACCCCCAGTTTTCCTTTTCCAGCTGCAGGTAGGAGTGCTGACCTCAGCTCTGGAGCTACAGTCCTTCCCTGCCCTATTTCACCTTACAGCCACTTGGAAATAGTGTGGGTGGTCAAGCACATGGTACAAGGAGCTACCCCAAGAGCAATGCCACGCAGTAGGGGGAAATGGCTGACTTTATGGATGTTATTCATCCTTCCCTTTCCCAGCTGTCACATCAAACAGAAGTTCAAACCTCATGAAACACAAGAGCAGTAGCAGCTACTCTTAGAACTAAGAAACCAAAATTCTTTTTAATTTTGAAAGCACAAGTAAAAAGTTAGCCACTGCCTATAGAGGCATGAATGCCTGAGAACAGTGAAATCCTGGTAGATCACTCTTTGAGCTTTCCATGCTTACCTCAGCAGGAGAATTGATAATGGAGACCTGCAGTCCATAGTGGAAAGTTCCAGTCATGCCCAGGACAAAAGCCAGGAGAAAAAGGCTGTAGCTCATTTTCTTGCAGGAAATAAAAACAGCAAACAAACTGGTTCAGCTATGCAGACATGCTTCCAAATGTGCTGTTTTCCTTGGGAGCTCTAACAATTTGAGCAATGCCACACAGCTGCCTCCTTGAGACCAAGGAGCAATAGAAAAGCACAGCTACTGCAGCACAGGACAGTGAGAATGCTGAGTAGAGGCAAAGCTCACAGATGCCTTCCAGAATCCAGTTACACACTTCAGTGCTTCAGCCTTCAGCTTTGGCCATCTTAATCTGCACTGTCACAGCTGTGGGAGCATAGTGCAATGGCCAAAAGCATTTTGTGAACAATTCCATCTATTTGTCCTTTCTCCTCCTCCTTTCCCACTTGTTATCTCACCTAAATGAATATTTTGCTGAGTGACTTGGCTGAGACTAGATAAACATTTGGGGATGAAAGGGCATTCCTGCTTTCATAGTTTATTCACCTGTTCTTAGAACTCTCTGATAGGAGGTGTAAGAATACAGAACTGCAATAGAGGCACCTCAACCCTTCCCACTGCCACTGCTCCCTGTTACTGGGGATGTTCTGGCCAGCAACAGGAGAGTGATGCTGCACCTCTATGCCTGGAATATTTCATATTCAAACAATGACTGCCAAGCATTTACCAGCCAATTTCTAATCAGGGGAATGTCATTGCTTGAATGGGCATCAAACCCCTTCACACCAACTTGCATGCAAAGGTAGTCATCCCCTCTTGCAGTCTAGATCTTTCCTGATGCTTTCTTTGGCTACTGTGGAAAAAGTTCCTTTTTATATACAGAAAGTGGAGCATGAGATAATATTTCAACATGTCATTTTGTATGGGAATAAATCACACATGACTCAATTTTCTTCATGGTGGAAAAAGGCCATTCTTTATTCACATAACTCCTTTTTATACAGTTTTACAGACCTCGTGTGGAACTCCAATTGGTTGGTAGTTTTCTTGACAATTACTTTATTGGTTAGTAACCAGTTGTTATTCTCTATTGATTGATCACTCAGACTCTTGGTGCCTATGTGCAAGGACAGTTGTTTGTGAAAGTTAGTTTTCAGTTTTCTAATGAATGCAAAAACAGTTTATGCAAGTGTAAGTTATTTTTTTTTACCCAGGAATAGATTGTTATGTTAACTAATTGCTCGCAACAGGATTCCTTTCACATGGGAATCTGGCAAAATGCTGGCTTTGACAAGGCCAGCCGCTGATTCCAGGAGAGCAGACTTGGTTTTATGAAGACTTTCTCTATGATTTTTCTACCTTACTGCAACAATTTTGTCCTTTTGCAGTGTTAGTGCTCCCTTTGGTTTTTATGAAGCTCTTGCTGTGTTGTTGGTTGTTGTTGTGTGGGTTACTGATGCAGCTGAGGATAGCTGGTGAGCTGTGTGCTCCCGGCAGGGCTCTGGGCGTGCTCTGGCAGCAGCTGGGGACAGTAGGAGCTGTGGAACATGAGCAAAGGACAAGGAGGAAAGCACTGATGGAAGTCAAAGTCCAAGGACTGGTGCAAACTGGAGTGGGCTGGCTTGGACTCCCCATTAGGCTGGGTAATCAGTCATCACATCCAAAGGGAAAGTTCCTGACTGCTACCTTGAGCCTGAATCCAGAAAAGCCTTTAAAGCCCTACTTGGCCAAGACAGACAATGCCTGTGCATCCCCCTGTTACCAGCTGACTGACCAACTGACTCCTAAAGAGTAATGGTCATTGGCTGAAAGTTCAGCTCTGTATCCCTATAAAATATGGCAGATGCTAGGGAAGTTTAATGTCAGTTTTAAATACTGACTGTAAAATCTTTCGTTTTATCCACAATTTTTGAAGGGCAGTGTCCAAGACGGTTCTGTTAAAAGGCTTTTACAAGTTATTCAAACAGCTTAGGGGGGAATTCCTTCTCCTGGTGAGTGGCTGCCCTTGGTGGTTCCCCAGGCTAGGATGCTGTGTTTCTTTGGAAGAACCCCAACACCAGCTGGCTGCAAGTGAGAGCTGGCTTGTGCAGGGGAGCAGTGTTTGAGGACAGCAGCAATAGTAGTTTTCCCTAGTGTTGATGGTTATTAATCAATCCAACAGTGTGCAATTTTTTGATTTGCAAACAGTAATATCAACTGTGAGACTGTGAGGATCACTTCAAAATGTGGTTTTGCCTAACACTTTATATAAGAAAATGTGAACAAGTGTCATAGATTTCTCAGCTGAAGGTGTTTTAATTCCGTATCAATTAACCAACTTGTTAAATGCTTCAATTAAAATTTAACAACATAGACCAACTGAAATGTAACCACTGTTTGTGTTTGCTTAATCAGTTTATAGACCTCTGATTTCAGGACACAGTCAGAAAAAAATGCTGGAAGTTGGAATTAATGTTTTCTGCCAGATGTACTCACAGGACTGCCTCTAAAAGTCAGGAAGTCAAGTAAAAGTGTAAATGGGTATAACTTCTGACCAAGCCTGTTTCATACTGCCAGGTGCAGATGGCTCTGCCCTTGCAAGACTCTGGGAAAAGGCACAGTCCTGACTCATGGGAGTGGCAACAGAAGTGGCCAAGGGGAGGACTCTGGACACTGGAGGACTTCTGCCTTCTCTGATCTGTATGCTCCAGCCTCTCCCTCTGCCCAGGCAGTCTCCTCAGTCCATCCCTGCTTCCTACCCTGCATGCTCCCCACTGACCCCTTTCCCTTCTTCACTCTGTGCTCCACTTTTGTCTCTTGTCCTTCCTCTGGTCCTCACAAAGGAATTACAGAATATTTTTCCACCATCATGATGGTAGTGGCAATTTTGCTTTCACTTTGTTTTTCACTCTTTCCATCTGCTCCTCACTGCTCTCTCCGAACTACAGTAATGTAAATTATCTCTTCAGTTCCCAATTCTGTGGAGTCCTGCTCTTGATTGTGTTGTCTCAAAATCCTGCATACTTCAAAATCTCAGTGTTTTCCAAGAGCAGAGCTAGCTGCTCTTTCCCATGTCTATATATTAATGACTTCTAAAATAGCACCAACCACAAAGGAAAAAAGCTTCCTTTTATTTTTCATATGTTATAAACTTTGGGTAGTGAAAGAGTTGTTGCACAGACTCCTCTTCTGAGAAATAGATTTGCTGCTCCACTCATGCCCATCATGACACTAATACACTCCAGAAATTTGTGCAGTCTTTTTATTCAAAAATGCTGCATTTTTCTTTAAAATGTAGTTTAAAAATACACTGAAAGAAGCTTTACCTACTTATTTTGAAAATGTACGTGTTCTTCTTTGTTGTAAACATGAGCAGCGCTGTGCCTTTCATACAAAGTCAAAAGAAAAGAGGTGGCTTGATTATGACTTTGAGAAGAAACTGGGAGAAATGTAACAGTCAAGCCAATGCCTGTGAAAGGCCACGTTCAGTGAGGAGTGTTGCCCTGTTCTCTATCAGGTTAACCAAAAAGAATCAATCTCACATCTGGGTCTTTACCAATGTGCTCTACAGAGACAGCACGGACGTGCTGCAGAGAACGTTGTGGTGTGACCTGAAGCTGCTGCCGTGGCACCTCCTCACCACACTTAACCTCAGCACAGCACAGGTGCAGAACCCTGCAAGAGGCACCAGCAGCGGCCGTGGGAGCAGAACAAACTGGACCAGAGAATTACTTGTGCTTTACAACATAGGACTGGAAGACAAACAAGCCATGAAGAAAACCAGTCCAGAATAAATAGTCTGCAAAACAATGCCCAAAAGTCTGTTGTATAATAAGCCACTTAGCAAGTACTAGAAGCTTTCTTTCTAATCCATCTGTCACATGTTTTTATAGCTGAAAATAATTAACTGCTCACTATTGCTTAACAAGCAGGGGTTTATTTGAAATCACTTAATAACAGAAACAACGGGAGCACCAAGACAAGGTACTGAAAATTTCATCTGGTGTCTGAAAACATAATTTAATCGCATTCATTTCTGTGTTAGAAAGCCCAGATTCAGGGGCAAGGAAAGAAGGACTTCTGAGATGGAAGTTACTGTTTGGAGAAATTCTGAAGAAATTTTCTAAAGCATTACATGGTGTTGTATGACGATAAGAGAATAAGGTATCATTCTGTCACTCTCAGATACACATTCTAAAATATGCATGTGTTACTCAGTACTAAAAGCTGAGAACAGATTATTGAACTTTTGCTTGGATTTATCAGTTCAAGTTTATGTTTTCATGGTGAACTTAAGAACCCAAGAGTAATACATTGGCCCTAACTTCTCTCTTTGTGTGCCTGCAAGGGCACACAGCCACTGCTGAATTCACTGCAGAATCCCCCCAGATACCATCTTCCTTTCTTCTGCTACAATGTGGTGGTTTTGATCTCCTCAGGGCCTTTATAGAAACCTTCACGGGTCTTAGCTTTGAAGTTCCGTTTCCTGAACTCCTCCGAGATTTCCAGGAAGGATTTTCCCTTTGTCTCAGGAAGGAAAAACCAAACGTAGAGGGCAGTGCAGACACAGACCACAAGGAATGGGATGTAGCAGAAATGTGCTAGACTTTTCTGAAGAGGAGGAAAAAACAAGACAATGTTAGTGACATTCTGTATGATGACAAAAAGGCCACTAATCCCTCTTCCTGCATGGTCTAAAGTCACCCAGGGAGTATTTCTGTGAATCTTGGTGAGAGCCTCACACGCCTGGATCAACAGCTCCCCAGCATGGACTGGGAAATTGGACATTGCAAGAACAGTATTTTAAAATGTCTTTTTCTGTCTTTCTCTCTATATATGATTGTATAACATGGGAGCCCTCAGTAGGAAATAAGACAGGAATGTATATTGTGGAGTTCTGCTCCCTTTTTGCTTCAGGAATCATCTTAGGGAATAGAGCCAGGGTCTGGCAAAGCGAAATTGCCACATCACATCTCCAGTTCCAGCTGCTCTCCACTGAGCACAGACAAGGAATATTGACCATTCATCCCCCAAATGATTCCACTCCCAACCTCAAATCAGAAATCACGAAAGGGAACACGAGAAAGTTTGGTTTAAAGGAGTTCTGGCCACTGTCCTCATAAAGATACTTTTCAAAGAAGTGCTATCTTGCTCCTTGCAATATTCTCTTTTCCTGGTCAGTACCAGAGCCTCCCTCTTGCACAGAGCACTAAAGAGCTGCTTTGCTTTGAGAACGCACCACAATGAATGGAAAGGCTGTTCCCACCAGAAACAGGTTGAACCAGAGCAGGGAGCCACAGATCATGTAAGCAGCTGGTCGGGACATTTGATCAAAAACCTCTGTGGGCAGAACTCCTGTTACACCAGCTGGAAAAAGAAATGGCAAGAAAGTTAATAATGTTGTTGACATTACATTAAAAACAAGAGAACACATCTTAACAAGAAAACCCAACATGAAGAGGTAAATTTTTAGGTTAAATATTAAGGGACTGGGTAATTATTCAAACTTTCTCATGTTAGAATGATCTGCCAGGAAAGATTTTGTAATCCACATTATTCTTACCAGGACCCAACTGTGAGAAAGGCTTATAATTAATTCAACTCCATGGCACTGTAGGGACTGGGACAAGAAATTATTGCCAACTTGTGTGGCATGTGACACTGGCAGCTTGGTTCTATTCTTACCTGCCTTCCTTCGAACTCGTGTGAGCAAACAGAGCCTCACATCTCTATATTCACCATGCAAACATCCACAACATCCCATGTACTGCCTTCCCAGCCCCAGAAACTAGTGTATTCTGCCACAGAAGGGCACAATAGTAGGCTAACAGATAGACGTGGAAATTGTGCTTCCACGTATCTGCAAGAAAGTAATCAGATGGCATAGCCAACAATTTCTAGGATTAAAGTGAAGCGTTAGAAATTCTGGTTTACAGACCTAATGGGCTGGGCAGCAAATCAAAAGCTTGTCATCTATTTAAGCCAAGAATCACTTCCAAGTGCCTTGGCCTCACAGCCAGGATGACTGTCAGGGGGAATATGACACAGAGAGAAACGGGCACAGCCTGACCCTGCACAGCACTGACTGACCAAACCCCTGTGACACAGCCAAACAGCACTGGCAGAAACTGCCTCGTTCCTTGGAGTATGCTGCAGCTAAAGAGGGTCTGAGAGTTTCCATAAGATGCCTGCACACATCTGCAAACCCCTGCAGTACCAGTTTCACTGAAAACACTGAGGGAACTGACCTGGTCCGATTCCAAAGCTCAGGATATAGGCGAAAATGCAGGCCACGCTGAGATAAGGCATCCAGCTAATCTGAGTCTACAGCCACAGAGACCAATGGAAAACCAATGAGGGCACTTATTTGCCACCACTGAACACCCCAGTCATATAAAAGGCAAAGCCCAACTCCATTCCACTTAAATAATTCAGTAAAGTTGGTTACCTGCTGGCTCAGAGAGACCATGAAGACAATGGCCCATCCTGCCATGAAGATGTATCCCCCCAGCAGCAGCGGCCTCCGACCAGCATACTCTATGATCATGTTCTGCACAAAGTAACACAGGGAAATAAAGCAAGATATTTAACCTGGGTTTATATTTCCTGCCTTTTTCCTCTTTATCTTTCAATACTCCAGGCCTAGTTCGCTCTACAATAACTTTCAGGATGTTGTCTGCTTCATAACAAAAAAAAAACCTCAAAAGAAAGTTCTGGTGGCAGGAGTCAGGAAGAAGGGTGTTCAGGGGAGATGAAATTGTCCCAGCTGCACCTAAACTCTGCCACCATCCATATGAACACAAAGCAAGAGAGTTACACTTTTTAGAGATTTCAACCAGTGATGGCAGTGTCTGACCAAATACCTCTGCATTAACCCATGGGGCTGGGGGTGCTGACAGACAGCCTGGCTCCTGTGCCTAAAGGGCTTCCTTGGCATGAACAGCAATGTAAACCGCAAGTTTGTAATTAACAGCCTCCTCCCTGCCAGCAGAGGCTGCACGTCACCAGAGTGCACTGAGAGTCTCACACAAGTGACAGATGTGATCAGCTCACAGCCTCCTGTGCCGATTACAACATAGGGGATTTTGTCCTCAGGAATTCCAGCCTCTTGGAACACATAAGCTGCATAAAAATACATCTGTGAAGAGAAGAAAGGAGAAAGCAGTAAGGGAAGACATCTGAAAATACATCCCCTTGTTTTTCCTGTAGGACCTTGAAGAGTGACCAATGCACTGTCACACAGGCTATTTTGACAGCATCCTTCTGAATTTCCCATAATGCACAGGTGTATTTTGGGAACCAAACACCTGACATGTGAAGATCTCCACAGGCAGACAGACACTATTCATTCCTCTCCTGCTGCCAGAATGTTGATCCCAAGAGCTCCCAGGCTCATCCCAGGGCACTCCGGCTGCTCACCGAGTCGTTGCCGCAGAGCTGCATGGCGCTGCTCAGCACCATGATGCTCACCAGCTGCCACCGCACGGCTGCGTTCTGGAACAGCTCCCACGGGTTCTTTGCTCTCTGGCCTTTCACAGCAGCCTGCTCTGCCAGCATCTCTTCCAGCTCTGCACTCAGGTCGCTGGTGCCTCTGAGCTTCTGCAGTGCTGCAAGGACAAGGCAACCCCTTACTCCTGCGCTGCTCTGCAGGGTGAGGGATCGGGCAGCAGGTGATGGCTACAGAAAGCTGCAGGACAGAGCCTGTGATCATGCTGTGACCTTCACAGAGTTCATCAGCTGTGGTGCAGCCACTTGAAAGATTTGGGAGAAAGGGAGTGCAAATCCCTCACCATTGTTTGACAACTGAGTATTTCCCAACAGTGCCGTTTTAGCAGCCATGCTTCTGACTCAGATCTCAAGTGCCTTCCCTGGGGAATGCAGGCAATTAAGATGTTCTTGGTACACAGCACATATTTCCCACAAAATAACACCAGCCACTCTGCATTTGAGGATTTGTATGCCACAAATCTAAGTAAATCCTTTAATATGAATTGGCTTCAGCTTTCATCCTGAGCTCTTCAACCAGCATTTATTTCACTTCATAGTTACAAAACATATTTGCCATTGTGAACACAAGTCTTACCTTTTGACCTTATTACTGTAGCAAATAAGCCTGTTGTAGGAAGATGCCTCTCAATTCCCTCAATAGATCAAATATATTTAAGATTATAGCATGTTCTTTAGTTTGGAAGGAGGAAGTGATCATATTTACTATGTGATATGAAACTTCCTACACGTAAAATTTGTGACACCATTCCAAAAATGTTGGGGCCCAAGTCTCACATGTTCCCATGAGCTAACAGTCACCCTAAACTCACCTGAGATACAGGATTCTTTGTCTCCACGGTCAATCAAGAGATATCTGGGACTTTCAGGGAACCAAGGCAGAGCTGTGAGCTGGATCAGGGCAGGAACCACATTGCTTGCTAAAAGGAATGGCCAGCTCTCCTCCCCTCCTAGGAGCTCCCTAGAGAAAAAACAAACAAACACAATTTACACAGGATTTTTACAACCTGGCAAATGTGGGGGGAAGGGAAGGGAAGGGGGCTGCTTGCTTTCCCTTACCTGAGCCCAACAACCTGCCCCAGCACCAGCCCCAGGGCTGTAAACGATGCAGAGGTCAAGGCCACAGCTCCTCTGAGCTTCTTTGGGGCGCTCTCTGCCAGGTACATGGGCTGAATGTTCATGCTCACACCTGGGCAAGGCAGACAATGCTGACCTCAGCTTGTGGGCAGAGGAGACAAGAATAAATGGAGGCAGCACCTCTTGAGGTTGCCAGCTGCACTCTTCCATTGCAGGCCATGTGATAACTAATCTACCAGTGCTTGTTATTCACCCAAACCTTCCATTTCACCCCGGTCCTTGTGTAACGAAACACACATCTCAACGTTCATCAGTAGCAGTGGATAATGAAACTGAAACCTGTCATGGCCTCAGCCCTATGGTCTTTTCAGCACCAAATCCAAGATTATATGCAATGTTTCCCTCGACTTCCCCCTTTTGAGGGGAATTTCATATTTTAAGTTCCTTATATTGATCATTTCCTGGAATGAACTTCTACAAAAGCTTTTGTGTTTGTGCTCATGCTGGTGAGTGACTGACATTCTTACAAGCAGATGGGAATCCATTTTCAGCTCAAATTTTCCCTGTGCACAGAGATGCTTATGTGTAGTACACAAAACCACCCTGCCTGTGTATGCTTTAAAAGAAAGCCCTTAGAAGCAAAGTATAAAATCTGTATATGCAACTTCTTAATTCACTTACACGTGTCTGGTCAGCCTAAAGGATTAATTACTTTAATATCCTGGATCATTCCCACTTAAATTTTTTCTAATTGTTACCACCTTCACCTTCTGTATTTTTTGTGAAAAATGCGTATTTTGTGATTGGCTTTTCGCAAATATCAAAATTAATATTATACGTGTTATGTTAGAAAGGTATACTGTATTAATTTTCTTCAGTAGTGTGCTAAATACAGTTTTAAGTTATAACATAATGTTAAAATATAAACTATGCTATGTAAGATACTTTTTTTAAAGAAAGGACTCGCACTGAGATAGCAGCCACAGAACACCTAAATCTTTCCAAGAAAAAGAATTTATTGCTCTCTTATCAGAAGAAATGAACTTCTCCCCACCTCGCTCAGCCCTGAAGATGCTGTCAGGATTCAGAGGAAGAAGGTGACACTGACCAGACAGAATCCTTTGTTTGAATGGAATTTATGCATCATGTATGAGGTATATGAATATGCAACAGGCTATTGTTTATAAGGGTTAATCCTCTGTTAACCTGGGTCCTTTTTTGGGCTTATTTTGTCCAGATAGAGGTACCTGGACCATCTGTAACTCTTTGTTTTTATTGTCTCGTATGGTCCTAATCCTGATTGTCCAAATTTTTATTACTCTAATTATATTACTATTTTTATAACCATTCTATTACTATTAAACTTTTAAAATCTTAAAAACAAGTGATTGGCATTTTTCACATTTCTCACGTTGCCATACCTGCATTCACGCCAGTAAAAAATCTGCTGAGCATAATCATTTCAAAGGATTTGGCCATTCGGCTGCACCCAGACAAGGCTGCAGCTATGATCACAAAGCCATTGTTCAGCAGCAGGGACATCTTCCTTTTGAGAGACAAGACAGTTGTCAGCACATGTGTGTCAGGTTCAGCTCTGGCATAAACCCCTTCCCCTGGCAGGTGCCACCTGCCACGCCTGGCAGCTGCAGAAGGGCTGGAGCCCCACCACAGAACCTCCTGGTGACCCCAGCCCTGCAGGACGTGTCCCTGTGCCACCTCAGCGTGTCCCTGCAGTGCTGCCTTCAGGCTCTCTGAGCCCACCAGGTTCTCCCCCAGCTTCAGGGCTCTTGTTCCCACACACAGTTCCCATTTGAATGGAGAGGAGTATTCCCTCAGCAAGCCATGTGCATTTTGGTCTGAAAGTGCTAATTTGTTGAAACAGGCATTTTTCATGTAATTGTGTAATCATTGTGAAACTTTGTCAGGAAGTTTTCATGTGTCCCAGGAGAAATTTCTGCTGAAAACCAGGGGAAAAAAGAGCTCTATTGACCCACACTGTTATTATTGCCAGAAATCCTCTCTAGTCCCTGCCCACTGCCTTACCAGTCAGTCTTTGTTTCTCTTATTTATGACGGAATATGATTTTATTCCTAAGTAGGACAGGGTGAAATCTCAAAAATGTTAATGGATTTAGGCAGCCCTATCCTTTCAGGTCTTTATAACCATGAAACTAGTAAGTCATGGGACCGCAAACCATAATGGGGTCTCCTTCATCATATAAGAGGAGCAAACCAAAGTGATAGCACATGGAGGAAAATCTTGGGGTCAAGAGACAGGGAGGCACAATCTAATTTCTTATAACTTTATGTAGCTTATGTTGATAACACTGGTTGGCTTGGTTTTGTTTTTTGGAGATTTTTTGGGTTTTTGTTTGGTTTTTCTTTTTTTTGGGGGGTTTTTTGTGTGGTGTTTTGTTTTTTGGGGGGTTTTTTTCTTTGTTTTTTTTTCTTTGTATTTTTTTTTTCTGAAGAAAGCTGGGGATAGAGCCGTGTATGAAAGATGCATGAGGTAAGACAGACACTTTTCAGAGACTCAAGCACAGAGGAAAAATCCCACCGTGGAGACTTAATGAATACTTCCTGAAATATTTCAGACCAAAGTGTGGATACACAGCCTGTGAGACATGAGGAGCTGGGATGCACCCACTGCTCTTTGTAAGCATCCTCTGGTTTTCTAGTGTCATTCCCACAGTTTAGTTTGAAGAAAAATCCTTAGTCTGATTCATTATCATTATGATAATCATTATTTGTACATCCATTATGATATCATATCATATCATTATTATATCATCCATTATGATTTCCCATTTAAAAGCATAGCAGAAAACTGGGCACAAAACCGATAGAGATTATGTAAGTGGGTACTGTGGCAAGGAGTTGAGCTGAAATGCTGGTAGCCCCTCAGCTGGGCTGGAATGTGATGAGAAGGTAATGTGGGGAAAAAGCAGTTCCCCGATGAGCCTTGAGATGTTCATTATTTTTAACCACTGTGGGTATTTTGCTGTAGGAATCCTAATTCCTCTTGGACTAAGGGAAGCTGCAAAGCTTAAGTTTAACTCCAGCACCTCTTACCTGCCCAGCATGATGGCCATGGGCCCAGCAACCATGGCCCCAATGAGGCCCCCCAGAGGGTAGGCAGAGACGGTGAAGGACCAGAGCAGCAGGACCATGTTGCTCTCCAGGGGAACGCCCATGCGCTCCAGCCAGGTCGTGTTCATGAACACCTGGATGTACTGAGAGAGAAGGACAGAGCTGCAGAGCCACCAGACACAGGAAGGTCATGGGGAAGGGCTCCCTTATTAATATATCTATTTATCCTGTGTTTATGCTTCCAGTTTCCTCCAGTTCTTAGTTGTGTTTTTAGCGAAGAGTTTAGGGTGTAAAACTGTTGCTGTTGAAAACTTGCAGTTGGTTTATATCGCTATGTGGTTATTTTTGGTAATTTAAAAACTGATTTCATGGGTCTCACTTCCAATCTAAGGGCAAGGTTGGCATATTGAATTTAGGAATTCAATTTTCCTAAAGCAGTTGAAACAAAGCTTTTGAATAAACTTGTGACACTAGGTCCTGCTCAAGGGTAGCTTTTGACAACAAAGTCCTGTGCTCTGGATGTGAATTACACAGAGGGAACAACACATCCTTGCTTTCTGTCCCTCAGCAGCAGCAGCAGCCTGCAGATTTCCAGTGGCACCCAGGGTCTGTCAGGGCAGGCACTCGGGGCAGCAGTACTTACTGAGGCCGGGGCATTGATGATGGAGATGTTGTAACCATACTGGAAGGTGCCTCCAATCCCAGCAGCACATATTGTCAGGATCAGGATCTTGTTCTGAAGCTGAAGAAAGGGGCAGACAATAGATGCCTTCCTTGTGCAGAATAAACTGACTCAAAAGACATTGAGACTGAGCTGGGGGATTTTCCCATGGCCATGTATACCCAGTGCATTTGGGATTCCTTGGTGTGCTGTTATTTCTGTCCTTTCATGACAATTACACATATTTTAGATTAGAGTGTCTTTCCTGTGGTGCTTCTTTAGCAGCCTGTAATTGTGCATTCAGCATTATGAGACAGGTGAAACATGACAGACAGGGGGTTCCCATGCCATGTTCAGGTCTCCCTGGGGACATTCCTTCACGACTATTGCCACTTGCTGACGTTGCCCAGTGACAGCACTGCTGAGCCTGGGGAAGGGGCTGCCTCACGTGGCATCACAGGATCGGTGTTGGTATAAAGTCAGGGCTCTTGACTTTTTGAAGGGTGCAGAACAAGCTGTCCTGGCTGGCCCAGCTCAGCAGCAGACAGCTCACTGGCAGGCTGACAAGCAAAACCATACAGCTTTTTGCCACTATTTTGTGCCTGTGCCTTTGGTTTCCCCATCTGCAGGTGAAACCCTGTGAGAAGCAAGACGTGCCCTGTGGGAGTTTTGGGACTGGGAGCTCTGTTCCACATCTCAAGACCATTCTGAGCATGCTGGGGGTCCCTGGTCTTTAGCCTGACACTCCTGCACAATGTTCTGGGTGGCCCAAGGCCAGGATGGCCTTTGTCAGCCCCCTGCTTAAAATCCCCTCCCACTGGGAAAGCTCTAGTGTCACACAAAGAGCCCATGCTCAGGCTCGGCTGTTTGCCAGCCAGCGCAGGGCACCTCAGGCCAGATTGTGTTTTGCTACATGAATATAACCCAGTGACCCTGGGAACTTAAATAACCCGAAGCTGAGGACCTCTTTTTGCTTTACCTGCTCAGTTTCTTCTTACAGAGCCATCCACCAAAGAAAAGGAAATTTTGGTCTAATCTCACAATAGCTCTAAACCCACAAATTCAAATAATCTTGGATTCTTTCCCTTTCCTCAAAGTGTTTTCTTCTAAATAACTTCCATACCAGCCCGAGACATGATGTCCTCCAGGACAAAAATAAAGCCAGACTATTCCAAGCCTGCAGCAAGAGGAGACTGAGCTCTCCTGTCCCAGCTAGCAGCAGATACATTTCGCTTGCACTTTCCATGGCTACACCACTTCCCTGTGCTGTTACTCAGAACTGAGCTAAGGATTGGGCATCTCATATCTCTGCTATTCCTCATTATCCTCGTTCTCCAGGTGAGAGAGTTTCCTCTCCCTACAACAGAATATTTCTTTTTCATTTACAATGTCTAGGAATACACCACTCCTCCTGCTCCTTTCCCTGCTTTCATTATAGAATACATCCCCTATCAAGTCGTGTGTCACAGAGCTCTTTTGTGACCATGAGCTAAAGCAGAATGGTTTGTTTCTCGTTCAGGGGCCAGCTCTGTGCTCAGAGCTGAGCAGTATTTACAGAGTGACCTTCCCAAGCCCTCCGTAACGCCCAGCTCCTGCAGTGCTCTCCCAGCCACCGCGGTGGCGCGCAGCTGCCAGGAGAACCTTTAGTCTGTCAGCTTTATCCCAAGGACTGTGAAAAATAATTCTATGCAAACCTGACAGTACTTACACAGCCTTATAAAAATTCTAATTAAAAAAAAAAATCTGCCAATAATAATAGTAAAATAGATGTTTTACCAGTCTCTGCATCCTGTTCATCCTCTTTGGTAGGTTTTCCTCTGTCTACCTGTCATGGTTTGACCCGGAAGTGGGGTTTTGGGAAGGTATGGCCACTGGCACTGTGCCAGAGTCAATCCATGACACTGCCAAAGCCTCTGGTACTCTCACGGTGCTCTGAAGGATTATTTAAATCTCCAGCATGGGAATGTGTATTTAGTCACCCATTACGTTAGGATAAGACACTTGATTTGGCAGGTGTTTTGCCAGCTGATTTACATTCCCAAAGCTGAGCTGCATGTTCATTAGCATGACGGTTCAATTAATTTTGTTGAAAGTCCATGACAGTCCAGGGAAATGATTCTCTAAGATCCAGACCTGTCTAAACCCTCTTGAAGGGCAGCGTGGTTTACAACATCAATTCCTTCTCAGAGCATCTGGCACAGCTACCACTATCACTGCTTTGATTAAGTGTGATCAAAGCAGACGTGAACTACAAATTTTTTTTCCTGATTGTATTTGTCCTGGAACACAATCTAGGATCTGAAAGACAAACCAGACTATTTCCCTTAGTGCCATCAGTGACAGGAGTGAATGAAGCCCAAGCCCTTCAGCCCTGGTTATGCAAGCCTTTCCCTGTGCTCCTGTCTATGTCCTGGTGACAGATAGGCACTGCAGCTGTTTCTGGAAAGGCTGTGCACGAAGGCACAGAAGGCTGTGCTCCTGCTCCCTCTCCACAGCCTGGCACAGAGCACACAGCCACAATCAGAGCTCCTGTCAGGTACCACAGTGACAACCTTGCTTCTTTCTGCAGAGCAGAAAGGCACTCCCTCGTAGTGGGAAATGCTGAATCCTTATGAATCCTGGAGATGGAGGCATATTGCACTGCCAGCAGTATTATTAAAGCTGCTGCTTCACAAAATATCTGGCCTTCAGGAGTAATCATCCTTTTAACATCCTTTCATCCCGCAGAGTGAGATTTGTGAGGGCCCTGACAGATTTCAGAGAGTTTGAAATAAGTGAAATGTTTTTAAATGCCTCTTTGTCCCTATTCAGTTTTTACTGCATATGAACAGAAATGAGCCTTCCAGAAATGAGTTCCACGTCACAGAGTAGTCTCTGGTGAATGTGTAGCCAGGGATGTGGTGCTGCATCAGCTGCAGCCACTAAGTGGCAGGAGAAGTACAAAATTTGCTGTATTAGGCTCTGAATCCAACATGCCAGCACTGTGCTGTCTGTGGCATGTGGCAGGGTTTGGATGAATGCTTCCATGCTTCCAGCAGCTTCCCAAACAATAACTGGGAAACAGACATAACTGTACCAGTCAACAGGCACTGATGGAGAGTTTAGGCACATATATCAAGAACAGTAATTAATTCAAAAAAGAAAGCTCTATTTTCCTCATGCTGTCTGCTCTGAGCTTGTGCCAGCTGCCAGAGGTGAGGGAAGCCCTGTGGTGGGCAGTGAGATGCTGGGGATTGTGGCACAGGCTGTTCATGGGTCTCCCTCTTCCAGAGGGGGCACAAACTGGCTGTTGCTGTGGTGAGATCTGTGTGCAGCTGGCTAGCTGGGAGCTCCAGGAAGTTGTCCTCCATCTTTTCTAGCAACAGCTGCCTTGATGAGGAGTGAAGGGATAGGTTTTTTTTTCATCTGCACAGCATCTATATTACTCGTGCTTTGGTGCTGAGAGATGGTCACGCTGGTTGTGTTTCTAACTGGCTTTTTGCTGCACCTTAAAAACCTCAGCTTTCCCAGGGTTTCATCCTTGTTGTCAGAGCTTCAGAGTCGCAGTTGTAGATGAGGAATCTCCGGGGTCAGGGTCTGTCACCAGGGTACAGCCACTGCTCTGCAGTTCCTCAAACTCCTGGCGCTGGAAGCCTTCACATAAACCCGGCAGGTTTCCAGCAGCACTGGGGGACCCACCACCCTCTTCCTTGAAATACTCTTTCACTGAACTCAAACCTGTCATAACCAGGGTGAAATATGATGCCATGTGCATGGGAGAGGAGTTCTTTGGAGGATGGGATGGCAGGGCCTGCCTGCAGTTATCTGACTGCAGGAATAAGTGCTAATCCTGCCATTAGGAAAGACCATCAACACATGCTCTTTGATCTGTCACGAACTGAGAGCTTCCAATGTTTTAGTGTGTTTTTACACCAGAATCATCTGGACCAACTTCAAGGGGAGAAAAGGGGCCTCATTTCCATCTGTGAGGTTTGGATCTACAGGATGAATTCTCCCTAAACACGCTACCCTGTAAATTGCAGAAGAGATTTGGAGCGGCTCCCTGGCTGGTTGCTGACTTTCCCAAGCTCTAGCCTGGCTGTTTCTGCAATCCCTTCTCACTTTCCTGTAAGGACCATCACTGTAAGATAAAAAATGCCTCTGTTTGCTTGTTCTGACTCTTGCAGAACTCACTCAGAATACAAAGACAAATAATAAAATCTGCAAACAAGCAGCTTTCTCAAGAAACATGCAGCAGGTTTGCTGATTTCATGGTGAAAGCAATGTTTCTGTTTATTTAGTTGTTAAAATGGATTTTTCTTTGTAGGAAATGAATGCCCTGCTGTGACACCACTATTCTCAGTTCCAGCAGTTTGCTGATGTTCTTAATAAAACCCCCACAATTTATGTAAGTTCAAGGCACTGTATAAGAACTTCAGGAAATGAGCTTCATCACAGAGGTTTCTCAGGGCAGGGACCCAATGCTGACAGAGCTTCTGCTGCCACACAGAGTCACTGGGACACTTTCCAGAGCAGTGGAGATCCATGGGAGCTGAGTCCTTTGAGGACACGACGGCTGAGACAGCCAAGGGAACTTGCTGCTTTCCCTTGCTAGCTGGGATTTTCGGATGTCAGAAGAACAGCTGTATGTTCTGTGTGTTGGATCAGCAGTCTGCCTTTTCCTCCACCTGATAAGCACTACAGCTTCTCTGGGAAAACTGAGAAAACTCAAAATACTAAAAATAATGGAAATGCCTTTTTTTCCAGTCCATTGTGAGCTGTAGGTCATGCTGTAGCTGAACTATTTATTTTCCTTCCATCTCTGTATCAGACACTGATACAGGCACTTAGTTGAAATTGAGTGACCTCAAGGCCAGAAGGAACAAAGTCGTTGCCTGAACAAAATCTCTGCTTCTGTGTGTGAGAGAAGAGCATTTAGACTCTACCAAATGGCATCAAATATTGCTGAATGTTCCCGTCAGAAGAGAGGAAAATGTGTGCAGCAGTGTCAGAGGGTCAGACTCATCCTGCTTTCTTATTTAACATTCCCTTCAGACAGAGCTTTTCATTAGAGCTGTGCCCTGGATCATTGAGAGGCAGCTGGACTGGGACACATATTCCTGCCTCTGGTGAAAACCAAAGTACAAATACCTTTTCTGACTCCTTGTAAGGGTCTCCAGCAGCTGACAGCACACTCAGTTGATGTGCTGCTATTGTGAGCTGAGCACAGACCTCTTTTCATAAGACACAAGCATTGTTTTTCAGTTCTCTTGTTGATTTGGCCACAGAGCTTATGAAATGGATGTTACAAAATAAAGGCCCCTGAAGGATATTCCCTACTGACAGCTGTGGGAGGTGACCTGTGGTGTAGGGGACAGATCACAAGGCAGAAGAATTTAACAAGAATTATTAAACACTGGAGAAAAATAACTGTGCAGAGAGACAGACATTTTCTCGTTTGATGTCTTCAACTCATGATCAGAAGCTGTTTTGGAAGAGGTGCTTTATTTGGATATGTGATGAGGCTCTGCTCCAGGGGATTTAAATGAGATCTTTCTCATGCCAGACACAAAGATATATTTTTGAACTAAAAACCATAAGAAATAAAAATAATATTAACTGTGATTTACAGCAAACCCTGTGCAAACCACATGTCCTTGGAGGGCTGAACTCTAAGTACTATCTTTAGTTTCTTTCTAACAAACAAACAAATTTAAAAATCCATCCAATTCTGTATGATTCACTTTCTCCTGACTTTAGCCATCACACTCCAGAGTTAGCTGATTTGGAACAAGAAATCCTTTAGTGAAGAAGGAAAAATTTATGTATGGCTATTACACATGGAAAAGTAAACATTTCAAGTGCCTCAACAGTTATGCTTACACAGCTTATCTACACACAGCGGGTTCATGGAGCTCTTGCACCTCTTGTCCATGCCACCAAGGACTGAGTTTGAGGGCTGAAATAACCTCCCAGAAAGGTCCTCCTGGCTGGTGTGCCTCACTTGTTCCTAGTGCCAGGGCATCAGGCACGTAGAGACCTCTTCTGCACCAAGGCTGCCGGGGTCTCAGGCACGGCACGTCCTGGGGAGCGCTGTGGGTGAGACCTTGAACACAACTGGCCTGAGGCACAACAGGGTCCCCTACCCTGGCAGGGGGAGTCTCTCACAGTGGGCGTGGGGGTATCTCTGTTTTCACAAGAAGGAAAGACTGGGGACTGTAAGCAGGGATGGAGCATTACCCGAGCAAGGGGCTTGGGGTTATGTGGCCAGGGAGTGAATGCTCCCCCTGAGTACCCAACAGCCCAGCCGGAGGAGATGCCTGTGCGCCACCAGGCCAGGCACGACTGTCACAGCAGGGCACGCTGCAGAGCATCACCGGATGAAGTTACAAACAAAATGCCAGTGCCGTTGAAGAGCAGAGGGCACACGGCAGCGGCTGTACACTCCCAAGTGTGTGCCTGGGGCTGTTTTCCTGCCCCACCAGCTGCGGGCGGTGAGCGCCCTGCCTGTTAGGGCCTGTGCTGACACGGCACAGCTCCTTTCATCCTGCGAGCCCGGGACTGCTGGGCTGGGCAAAATGGGAGCTGCTGCCTTTAAACAGAGCAGCTGTTTATCCTTGAAACAATTAGAGACGGCAGTTAGATCTTGAACTCGTTACTGAGCCCAAAACAATTATGATAAAAACAAATTCCAGATGGGCTCAAAAGGAGTTGTTTTTGTCTTTAGTGAATTAGAATGGATTCCATGTCTTCAAGTTCCTCTGGTATTTATGGACAGGAAACATGAATTACACACAATAATTTACTACAAACAAAAGAGATGACCGCTGCAACAGCCCATTTATCTTTGCTCATGTGCCTTCTTGAGGTTTATGTGCTGTTTAACTCATGAGGAGAGTTAATAGCATTTTTCTCTAACTCTGCAGTTTTGGTTTGCAGAAACTGAGACAGGAAGCTGTTGAATTTATGCTGCAGGTTACTGTCACTGAGCCTGCAGATGCACAATGGGTAAATATAGTCTGGCAAAGAGATACCATCATGTTTCAGTTCTTCCTTTGAAGGACTTGTGCAAAGGTTACAGTTGGGACTCCTTCTAATTAGCTCTTCTGGCTGATCCAAGAGCATGCAGACAGAAACCTTTTTCAAAGCCTGTCCAAAAAGGACTGAAGTCTGGGCATCACACATATTTGTATGGAAACTTTGAGTTTCTGACATCTTGGGTTTTGAAGCTGATGCTGCACATTGGCAGTGATTGAGCTGATCCCAACAGGAAGGGGACCCAGCAGATGGCAGGAAGCAATGGCACATCACTGTGCTGCATCTGCTTGGAGTCCCCAGGCAGGAGCAGGACGAGGCAGGAGGAAATCAGTGAAAAAACTCCTGGGCAGCATTTTTCTGGCAGTCTCTCTTACCTTCTTGCAGCTGAGACAAAGAGTTTGGCTTTGTTGTTTTTTTTCAGATTTTAGTTAGATTTCATGACTCTATAAAAGTCCACATGCCAGCATCACTGTGAAGGGGTGTGTGTGAACCCAAATATGTGCCTGCACTGATGGGAACTTGTGGAAGGCCACAATTCCAAAAACCCATACAATGTGACACGGATTGTAATAAAGCCTAAAGCTGCCCTGGGTGTACTGTAGTGCATGAAGTCAGCTTGGCTGAGCTCCCAAGGGACTGAGATCATGGGCAGAAAGCAGCCTGGGAACTCAGGGTGACACTGAGATTTGTTTGGCCTCTCCCAGTGGGAGCTGGTGAGCTTCCCGATGCATTTCATCACTTCTCCCCCTTCCCCCAAAAGCCTTAGAAAAGAGGCTTTAAGTAGAAGCCTGAACAAGTGGAGTTCTCCAGTTTTGGCTAGACAAGAAGGGAAGAGAAAAAAATTGGGAAACTAAATTATTATTTTTTTTATTATTTTATGCAATATCTAATTTGCACATAGTCTTTCACAGAGAGTAAGTGAGATTGGTTATTTGGGCTCCCATCTAGTGGAGCTAGTGAGGGCCTCCTTGCAGCAGAGAGACTCCCAATATTCATCTCCCAGCCTTGCTTCAAATAAGGACGAGGTAGGAATCATGGTGCTTGAATTCAGCTTCTGTCTGGCGTCCACAAGCAGCAAGAACAGATAGGAAACCTCTAATTCCCCACCCAAAGGATCAGGATACTTAGTTATTTATTTCATTTATTATCCATTTATTGACTCTCAGTTCTTCAACTCAGTTGCACGTCCACAAGCAGCAAGAACAGATAGGAAACCTCTAATTCCCCACCCAAAGGAAAAGGATACTTAGTCATTTATTTCATTTATTATCCATTTCTCAGTTCTTCAACTCAGTTGCCCATTCTGCTGGGTTGGGAGCTCAGTGCATGCTGGAGGGCTGAGCTGCAGCAGTGCAGCATTTGGGCTCAAACAGCCACATGAATAAGAGCTCCTGGCCCGATGAATTTCCCTGCAAGCTCAGCTCTTCTCAACTGCCAGAGCTCTCACAGCAATCCCCAGCTCCCACACAGCCAAGCCTATTGACATTGCTGCAGTTTGTGGTGCAAGTTCCTCGCTCAGCTCCATTCCCAGCATCCCTAATGCAGTTCCTCCTTCTCCCCCAGCCCCATCACAGGTGCTCTCAGTGCCGCAGTGCCCAGGGCACTCCAGCCCACACTCTGGTCTGAAAGACCCCACCAGTCTCTTGTCTTCTCCTCTCTCTCCCCCATTATGTTGCTTTAACCTCATGTCCTGTCATCTTCCATCTGGGTTTTGTATTTCATCAAAGGGCAGTCAGGATGGAAGTGGTGGAGTACACAAAGACTCCCTTCCCGCTCTGTAATTTCATTTCCCATTAACTGAGGGTTTAAAGGGAAATCTCAGGGCTCATTAAGGCTCTGATGACAGCTTAACCCTCTCCAGCACAAACCCAACACCAGGCCATTCCTCATCTGAATCCAGGGCTGCTGTAACATTAAACCTGACTGCTGCACAGGGCAGACAGGTCTGGGAAGCACAATCAGCAGGAGAGTGAAGGATGCAGGGTTTCTGGAGATGTGTATCAGCTCTGGTTCTCAGGAGCACTGTCTGTGTGGGACACGTGGGCAGAGACAGACCCTGCTCCTCCTGAGGGCTGCGTGCAGCGCTGCTGCCGTTCCCCGGCTCCCCTCAGCACCCGGTGGGACCACACATCTCTTGGTTTCTTCCAGCGGCCTTGACAGCTCGGTGCGGTCTCGCGCAGCTTGGGGAAGCGCCTCACTGCTCCATCAGGAGCACCCTCTCACTGCAGGAGCGGTTCCAGCAGAAGTTACCGAAACCCCCAAGCCCTTCGTGCCTTAGTGAATACAGACCCTTCTGATCAGCCGAGCAAGCGGCAACACACCCGGACTGAGGCAGCGGCACCGCCGTCCTTCTTCCAGCGGGCTCCTCTCCCTCAGAGCCAGCGGGGGAACGCCGCGCTGAGAGGCCCCGGCTCTCGGGGACACTGCGGGGCCGCCGCTGAGCGCACCGCGGCTCCCTCGGCCGCGGCAGGAACCGGGCGGAGGCTTCCCCAGCCGGGCAGGTCAGTATCACTGCCCCAGGACCCGGGGCACCTCGCGCCTCGCCTAAGCCCCGGTGCTCCGCCGTGCTCTGCCCCTCAGCCGCCCCTGCCCCGCCCGCGCCCCGCCCGCCCCCGGCTCTGCCGCGGCCGCGGGGCGGGGCCGCTCCGGGTTGGCGGCGGCCGCGGGCCGGGGCCATGAGGCGCGCTCCCATTGGCTGACGCGCGCCGCCTGTCGCGCGGGGATTGGCCGGGCGCTTTTCTCGGGGGCGGGACGTGCGGCGGCGCGGGGGGGGCGTTAAAGGCGCCGCGTCGGGCGGGCGGAGCGGCGCGGCCATGGCGTACCAGGGCTTCGCGCAGGAGTACCTGGGCATGCCGGCCGTGACCCGCGCCTACACCACCGCCTGCGTGCTCACCACCGCCGCCGTGGTGAGCGGGGGCCGCGCCGGGGGCGGGGGGCCGCGGGGCGGGAGCCGGGGCTGGCCGAGGGCAGCGGGTGATGGCAGCTGCTCTGCCTGTCTCCCACAGCAGCTGGAGTTCATCACCCCCTTCCAGCTGTACTTCAACCCCGACCTCATCTTCAGGAAGTTCCAGGTGAGGCCTCGCTCGGGCTCCGGGGCCCGCCGTGCCCCCTGCAGCGAGGGCTGGCCCTGGGTGTCCCGCTCCGCAGGGTGGCCGGGCAGTGCTGTGTCATCCCGGGGGCTCCTGTCCCCCGCTCCAGCCTGCCCTGAGCGCTGCCAGCCGGGCCAGCCGCACCGCGTCCCTCCTTGTCACGGGCACCTGCGTGGGGAGAACGCCTGCAGCCTTTCCCTGCCACACACAACACCTTGGCTTTTCCTTGTCTCAAACCCCATCTCTTTCCCCTCTGATACACCGTGTGTGGCTGCTGCTGTTGGGCTGGTTGGAGAGGGCTTTATTGTAGAGAGGCATGGAAAGTAATTGATTTGGCTCTGGGTGCTGAATTGTGGCTGTTTGACCTCTCTAGAAAAGTAGAGAAATCTTCTTTTCCATACCTGGAAAGGTGAGACACTGATGTATCAGGGTACCATGTCAGGAGGTCCCACGAGAGGATGGAGCAGCTGTCTGGTGTCCTGGGGTAGTTCTGAAGGGACAGGTGCACATCTGAGCATTCATTCCCTGCGGACACTGTGATGGGCAGCTCTACGTGTCATGAGGAGAGACCTCTGTCCACCTCCTTTTCTCTCTCCTCTTTCTTCTCTTTCAGATATGGAGGCTGATCACCAACTTCCTCTTTTTTGGGCCCCTGGGATTCAGTTTCTTTTTCAACATGATATTTCTGTATCCTTTGGTCTCAGTGAAGTTCTCTGCTCCCATTTTGGCTTAGATGCAACTCCCCCCATCCATCTTCCTCCCCAGCATGGCTTGCTGTGGCAGCACCCTAGGGCTGTGGGTTCTTCCCTTGGCTCTTTTGAATTGAAGCCCCTCCTGCCCCTCCATCTGTGCTTGCTGCGGGGCAGACCCTGCCTAAAGGGAAGCTGGCAGTGCTGCTGCTGCTGCTCTTGCTGGAGAGCAGTGTCCATTCCTGGGGTGAGCTCTGGCTGAAGCACAGCGGTGCCTCTCTCTGTCCATGGGGTCAGTGGGGTGAGGTGAAGTTTGCGCTGTTCTGCTCTGGGCTCAGCTCCCTGGGATGCAAGAGCTTGCAGCAGCTTGTTCCTGGGCAGTCCTGCTGTGGGCACAGGGTGGCCAGCTGTTAATTTCCTATACTGCAACCCCTCCCTTCTCTCGTGCCCTCAGGTACAGGTACTGCCGCATGCTGGAAGAAGGCTCCTTCCGTGGAAGGACGGCTGACTTTGTCTTCATGTTCCTCTTTGGAGGGTTTCTCATGACAGTATCCTTTTGAGCTGGCTGAGGCTCCTCGGTGTCTCTGAGATGCTGTGGGTAGTGTAGGGCTTGTCTGCTCCCTCTGTGTGCAGGTGTGTGTGGAGCAGGTGCCTGCCTGCTGAGCAGCACAGCTGCTTCATGAACCTCCTTGTGCCCCAGGGCAGAGGGCCTTGTGCCCCAGGCCTGCCAGCTGTGCCCTGGGACCTGGGAGAGCTCTGCTGAGCAGGGGGTGCAGGGGCAGCTTGTGCTCCTCGTCTTTCACACCCTTGGCTTGGCCAGTGCCTCACCCAGGGTGCTTGGAGGAGAAAAGTGCCTGTGGTTGTGCTGCTGTCAGTGCTGAAGCCCCTGGCAAGGGGCTGGGCTGCCTCGTTCCTGAAGGACGCGTGGCAGAGCGCTCAGGAGGCTCAGCTCAAAAGGAGGCCACGTGTTCTGCTGCAAGAACCTGTCCAGCTGTGCCAGGGCCACTGACTGAGCTCTGGTGAGTGCAGCATGGCTGTGACTGCGTCAGGCTGGCTCAGGACAGGGGCAAGAACGTGGAGCCATGAGGACAAGGAGTGGGTTCCCACATACTCAGCACATGTGAGCCCAGCTTGCAGCCTGTCAGTAGCTGGAGGTACCATCACACAGTTCTTAACTTCTTTTCACAACACAGTAATCTGATGGTGAAATTTATTTCCCTCCCAAGCACAAACCTTCTCTGAATATCTTCTGCTGTCTTATGCAGATGGCTCAGAGCACTGCTGTCCCCACAGAGCTCTGCATGAGCTGTGTGAGCCATTAGAATCCAGGTGGCTGCAGCAGCCACGTGCTTGGCCAGATGTGGATTTGGAGTCCAACTAAAAGGGCAGGGGAAAATTTTGCCTTTGTCTGTCTCCTCATGCTCTGAAGAAGAGGACTGTGAATTCCAAGAGCCATCTCACTACTGAACTTCTTCTGTAGAAGGCAGATACTGGACGTGAGCTAGCTGCTAAGATATGCCAGTGTCCCAAGTGCTGTAAGAATGTGAAAGCCCTTCTTTGAAGGGCATTTTGATGTTCATTTTGCAAAGGTGACTGTTGAGCTCTCTGGTCTCTGGTGGTTGTAGACATCAGCTTAAGGAGTGAGCAACCTGCATGTGCCCTCCAGAGTGTCTTGTTCTGGGGTGGCATGGAGGGAGATGTGTGTGGGGACAGTGGTGGTCAGTATCTCAGCCAGGAAAGGCTTGGTGACACGGGACATGTGTGGGAATGCTGTGATAGCTGTCTCTAGTTTGGGTTTCCTGTCCCAAAGCACGCTGTGCTGCCTGGAGGCGTGCACAGGGTGGGCAGGTTTTTCCTTGACTCGGTAGTTCCCAGCTGTTTGGACTCTTTGCCAGCCTGTTTTTCCTGGGCCAGGCTTTCACCATCATGCTGGTGTACGTGTGGAGTCGCAGGAACCCTTATATCCGCATGAACTTTTTTGGGCTTCTTAACTTCCAAGCCCCCTTCCTGCCCTGGGTCCTGATGGGATTCTCTCTGCTCCTGGGCAACTCCATCATCATTGACCTGCTGGGTAAGTCAGAGCTGGTGGGTGATGGCAACAAGGCCACCTTGCAGTCTCAGTGGTCAGTCCCCATAGGTGCCACTGGGACACTGGCACTTTCTCTTGGTTCCACCTGACCCGAGATGTTTGGTTTCCTAAGTGAGCTGCCTGGGTTTCTGGGTGGCTGGGCCCGGGCCTGGGCTTTTGCTCGTGACCTGCTTTTTGGTGGTAGAAGCTGGGTATGGTGAGCTCTGACACTGCTGTGTCTGATATGCTACATTATGCTACATGTGTCCTAATGCTACATTAAGAGTTCTGACACGGCTGTGTCTGGTCTCCTGGGTGTGCAATCTGCCCTCAGGCTAATGGGCTCCCTGCCTGCTGATCACAGCAACCTGCAGCATCCCTGGCTCTGGAGGGAGCTGGATGTGGGCACACAGCTGGGGGGTTCTTAGAGTTTGGCCCAGCAGCTCTGGTTCAGCTGGCAAAGGAGCCGCAGCTGTGCCTGACCTTGGTGACATCTCTCCCCAGGGATTGCAGTGGGTCATATCTATTATTTCTTGGAAGATGTTTTCCCCAATCAGCCTGGAGGAAAGAAGTTGCTGTTAACCCCCAGCTTTCTGTAAGTAAAGTTGATTCTTTCTGGGCTTTACTGTGGGCTGTCTCAACCTGATCACTTCCATAGCAAACTGTGACCATAAGAGGCACCTCAGCTCCACAGGCCATGGATTGCTGACTATTTGCACATTATACACATGGGTACAGGGCCCATAGAGCAGCTGCTGCTACCTTCAGCTTGCTGCTAGAACTAGAATCTGCTTACTGCTTGTGGAAATGCTGGATGGAGGCAGGATTTTTTCTGATGTAGTTTCATAGTTTAAGAAAGCAGAATAGTTCTGCTCTGTGCACTGACAATCAGCTCTGACCTGGTGATAAAGGAAGGAGGTACTGTCATCACTGTGTTGAGCTGAGCAAAAGAATGGTTGGTGATGCTGCAATGGGCCAGTGGCTGTGGCTGACAGCCAAGCCCCACAGAGGGCCAGGGTGTTCCTAGGAGGGCTGGGGGTTTGTCATCCTCAGCTCAGATTCCTAACCTGCCTGCCTGCTGCCTGCATGTCCCTTGCCAGGAAGATGGTTTTTGACACACCTGAAGAGGATCCCAATTACAACCCTCTCCCTGAGGATCGTCCAGAACACCAGCCTAGAGACCAAGACCAGAACGAGCAGCAGCATCCACAGTAGCATGGGGAACTTCTTCATGTGGCCAGACTCCTCCCTTCTGGCTGGACTTTGGCTGTGGCCCAGAGATCCTACTGGAATAACACCAGTTGCCATTCCGATGTGTAGTGTGTCACTGTTTGTGTGGGTAACCCATCTTCCCCCTGTACCAAGTGGATCCACAGAGCTTTGCACACAAGAACTCCTGAATGCTTACAGAGGTGTTCTAGGGACAGGGCTGAAGCTGTGATGGCTCCTCAGCTCCCTGGTGTGGAATAACTATCAAATGGGTGTTAAACCAGTTCCTCCTTCTGCTGTCGATGGCTTGCTGTGTGCCAGGTCACTCTTGCCCTCTGTACAAAGGTGCACCTGGCCCTCACTCTTGTGAGACCTCTTTGTGGGCTTGCAATGAAGTAGTTCTGTACCATGGTAGAACGCAGCTCAGCCTCTTTCTTTCCTTTATGTCTCCCACTCCTTTTCTGGTGGTTGTTTCCAAAGAGTCTTTACATTAAAGTCTTTATTTTTCAGTTGTGTGTCCATTTCTGCTAGGGGCAGAGGCAGCAAATCATCAGGAATTTGCTCAAAACTGCCAGGTTTGGGATTTTCTTTTCTGGTGGGCAAGGCTGGAAGATGTCCTTTCCCTCTTCTCTCAGCAGGGCTGGAGAGCATGAGGAGTGTGGGGGATGTCTAACTGGATAAAGGGGTGCCTGGGAAAGGACAGAGGGACTGAGCTGGACACTTGTTCCAGGCAGTGGCTGGAAGCAGCACTTGACACTGGCAATAAAGACTGTCTGCACCTGCAGTGTAATTCCACTCTTGTTGAATTTTTTAGTTCTGAAACTTAAACATCTCAGTTTCAGGGGAAAACGAAACAAGCTCGTCCCTCCCCTGACACCTGTATGAAATGGATCCGATCACTCTTGCTAACACAGTACCCACTGTGCTTGTACCTAACCTCAAAGGAGTCTGCACACATTGTATCTTACAGCAGCTCACTCCTAACAGTGCTGGCTGCTCAGACCTGCAAACCACCACCAAACTATGAAATGGGAGTAACCAGCATCTGATTAAGCACACACACAGAACCCCTCACACACCAACTCCCCCTCCCCTGTGGTCTTCTAATAAAACACTATCAAAACTCAGACCTGATTTGAACAAACTCTTGCTGCACTTATGCTTCCCTCTGCAAAGAGGCTGAGGCCTGTACAGGTGGTAATTTGTTCTAGAAGATACAGTGGCACTAAGGGTAATGATAACAGAGCTGGGGTTTCAGTCCCTAGAAGGAGTTTGTCTTTGAAGTCTCCAGATGCTGTTGTAAATTGCCTGAGATGGGGCTTTGAAACCTAACAGTTGGGCTATGCTTTTAGGTGGGGTACCACATTAACCCAAGGAATTGTGACTGCAGAGCAAGAAAGCTGATCCTGGCTGTTCCCCAATAGTCCTAATGCTACATTAAGAAAGCTGGCTGAAGTTCCCATCTTTCTCAACTGTCCTGCTTTGTCCCTGGCTGCTTTGAGGAACAATTTGTAAAGTCTCTCTGGCCTTGAGAAGCAGAGAGGTGCTGCAATCCTTGTGTGCCTGCACCTCATTGTGAACTTGAGGATTAGTAATCACAAACTTCACAGCAATAAAAAAAACTGCACCACAGATGCTAATTTAAGGCTACAGCAGTTTCACACTTATTTTAGTCAAAGTCCCTGAAGAGGCTGCTGGCAGAAGTCCCCAGTCATATAACAAAGGAAGGCTGAAGTGTTCTCAGGAAGGCTCAGAGTTTTTATGTCCATGAGCCAAAACATGTTTTACATGGGAGGCTAAGATACAGCAGCAATCCCAGGGTTTGTCTTCCTTGCTCAAATAACCTTTTAACCTCTCTAATATGAAGTAATACATGGAGTACCACTCTGGAACAGGAGCCTAGGATAAGACTGAATAATATTATTACTAAATTGCAAGTTTTCAGTTTCTGCAGACTAACATCTGGAAAAAGTTCCCTCCCACCCAGGAATCAGAACTGTCTCTGTTATTACTCAAGTCTAAACATGATAAATTAAGGCCAGAAAGTGTTTTTTGACTGTGCTAGCAGGGTGGGTGGATCAGCAAGGATCATAAAACCTATGGCTTTATCATAAAGGCCTGAATATAACTGTCAGGCTGCCAGCAAAATCTGCCTTGCTTGCAAGACTCATCAGTTCTGGCAGTGAATGGTAGGAACTCTATCAAAGAGATGGGGTACCTCAACAGCAAGACAGATTCTAATTAGTTGGTAAGCAAGCTTGGATTTTTCTTTAAATCTCACTTCAGTGGATTTTGTTTTTAAACTCCCCAGAGAAAGACAGGTTGTTTCTTTGGTTGCAAAATCCTGACACTGCAGTGCTAAGGGCATTCATGACACCCACTTTGCTTTGAGTGCTCTATGCAGTGCAGCTGGCAGTGCTGACTGACAGTGACCACAGCAAAGGCAATGGCTGCAGAGAAGCTTCAGTCTCAGTAACTGGAGGCTTTGCCTGCTCTACCAGTGCAGAGACTGTGCTGTTTTCCAGACTCTTCACAAAAAACAGGGATGACCACACACCAGGCTAACATCTGACAGAAATGACTCTTAAGTCTGTGACTTCAGTTAAACTGTTCTACCTTGTTGAGTAAACCAGCTGAATACCTCCCTGAGGTCATTACAGACTGTGCCAAGTCTGGTAACAGACCAATCCATAGAGTGTTTGCTGCTTCTAGTTCTAAATCTCCTCCTCACTTTCCCCTGCACCAAAAGGTTTTGGACTGTTGTACCTGTTGAAGTAAAGCACTCAGGAAAAGTGAATGCACGTGAGTGTTCAGCACCATACCCAAAAGCATTAATATTAGGCCCTGGGACTGCTCAGTTCCCAGAATAGCACAAAACATGGTGAGATTCACTGTTCATGCAAACTGACTGAACTCAACCTACGTTGTATGCATTCCTTTTATTTAAAAAGTTGTCCTAGGAGTGCATGTTGCACCTATAGAAAAGAATCTTTACACTGTCCACACACAGGTATGTAAGGGCTCCAACACCTGACACAGGTCCCAGCTAGGTCATGCTGCTCACTCAGCGTTCTGGGGACGTGGCACTGGGGTGGAGGGGGGGCAGAAGTCAGCAGTACTGGGAACTCGTGGCAAGTGGAATGTGTGTCCCCTTCAGAGACAGAAAGACCCCTGCCAATTCTAGATCCATTTAGGGAGAGGAATAGGGATAAAGTCTGTAGGAAAAGCACCAGTGTCACAACAGGAAGGTTACCAGGCTGGAGCAGTATTGGCCAAACGTCTCATGCGCCTGAGGGAGAGAGAGAGGTACAGTAAGTGCATGTTACAGACATGGGAGGTCTGACCATAAACAATGCTTCTGGGGAGGCTGCACAGCTTTGTCAGCTTTGTAGACAGGTTTATTCCTAGAGAGAACTCCTCAGTCACCTGAGAGTGCCCCTGGTGATAAGGCAAAGACACTGTTTTCATTAACAGCTGTTAGGGCACTTTTTCTCATTAACTTGGATTGAACCAAGTGCTACTGTAAACTGTTCAGTCAGCCACAGCTGATACACAAAATGACTGTGCTACTGTTAATCAGCAGTTAAAAAAACATCCTGGGAAAGAGCTGAGCCAGTATATTTACTGTTTCCACGATGTATCTTTTGGAGAGATACTAGCCAATCCTTTGTATCTGCCAGGAAGAATTTCATCAAGTAGGTGCAAGCTCTCAACTGCTTGTCTAACATC